AAAAACAGTCAAGTGCTCTCGATATTTCAGCCGTGAAAGGCAGCGTTGATAACAACAAAGCTCTCGAGTTCGGCACTCTTTACGGCTGGAAAACCAAGGGCACACTTGACGAATATCGAGTTTACAACCAGGCTCTGGATGAGTTTGAAGTTGCTGCGATCTACAAGAACCACCTCGTGTAAGGAGCACCGAAAATTCAAGAAAGCAAGGAAATGACATTTAGAAACAATCGTGTAGTTTTTAGGTGCAGATGATAAGAAATCATGAAAAAATGGTAGCTTGACCTGGCTTCAAAAATAGACCGTTAAAAACAGAAAACAGGGGGGCTTTATTAAAAGTGGTTAGCGTGTTGACTGTCACTTCCAAACCTTGTATATTAGTCTTTGGATAACAATAAAGTGGGAAATCAAACGCAAAAAATTGTGTGAAGTAGTTAACCCTTCCACTTAAAGGTCTTAAACTCCCCGAACATTTGAAGCAATGTAAAAAGAAAAGAAATAATCTCACTCCGGCCATTTTCCCCTGTAATTTATCTCTAGCACTTCCTCTGAATTTTTTGATTGCACCATCCAAAATAAACATGGCGTCGTGTGTCGTGGTTTTCTACTAGACGGTAAAATTATGTACTTAGAGCNATAGACCGTTAAAAACAGAAAACAGGGGGCTTTATTAAAAGTGGTTGGCGTGTTGACTGTCACTTCCAAACCTTGTATATTAGTCTTTGGATAACAATAAAGTGGGAAATCAAACGCAAACAATTGTGTGAAGTAGTTAACCCTTCCACTTAAAGGTCTTAAACTCCCCGAACATTTGAAGCAATGTAAATAGAAAAAAAATAATCTCACTCCGGCCATTTTTCCCTGTAATTTATCTCTAGCACTTCCGCTGAATTTTTGATTGCACCATGCAAAACAAACATGACGTCGTGTGTCGTGGTTTTCTACTAGACGGTAAAATTATGTACTTAGAGCGAAACACACCGTTAAAGAATTCAAAATGGTAAGGTATAAACATCAAGGAGACTCGACCGATGGTAAAGAGGACGACTATTAATTAATGGCTTAGAAGCAATGATATTGTCCTTCGGGTTGCAAGAACGTCTGAATCAAAGGTCTGAACAAAACCGCGCCACAGAACCCTGTGGACAAGTTTAAAATGGACTTTCTCGTCTACGATATGCAAATACCGCTAGTTCAACCGAATGTATCGCTTAGCATTATCTTCTGGTCGCAGAACTCACTGTTTTGGTGTTATAAATTTTTGTGTTCTCAACAGATGAACAACAATGCGCATTTGGATAGCCCAGATGTAGGCTTACTTTTGAAGAACGCTTGTATCCAAGTCCATATTTTTCATGAACACCATCTTTATAGTGTTGTTCACCTATTTATTATTACGCAGCGTTATATAGATATTAGCCTTATTGTTGCCGTTAAGTGAAGCTTACTGACTTCGCGCTTTCCTATAGGAACCGTTCGTTAAATCAAAGGTTTCGCCACAAGGACTCGTTTTGAAGCTTTCCAATATCACGCGTTTTGGCAGCCACACCGTCGTATTCATAGCGTTCGAGTTCGTTTCCCTTGGATAAACCAGTAGTTCTTGGGAGCATGATCGTACTTAACATGTCAGCTATTTTGTTATGCGGAATAAATTTACAATTATCGATTTAAAAATACCTGCATTATCTAAATATTTACT